CCTCTCCAACCCTTTCGAGGACGACCCCCCACCCCCCCCTTCCTTCCCCTATTGGGTTTATATGGGTTTCCATGTCATTTTAAGTTTAGCCAATTTTCCTTTAAATGAAACCAAAAACCCCCTCAACCCAAACCCCCCTTTGCCCCCTGACTAATACTTTTTTTTAACTCCACAAACCCTTTTCCTTAAATTTTCCCCTCCCAATTTTTCTGCAAATAATTTTCACCACAAATTGCCCTTAAAAAAGGGCATCTCCGCGGCCTTTCCAAAACCCTCTCCCGCCGCTGCATTTACCACCCAAGCTTCACACCCATTTTAAGAGTTTTTGGGGACTTTCTATACTTTCATAATTCCCTTCTTTGGCCTCCCTTTGATTTAAAGTTTTTTTTTCCTCCAATTTACCTCAACGGGACCCCTCAAACCTTTTTTTTTTCCCCCATCAATTTTTATATTAAAAACCCCATCCTTCATAAAAATCCATCTTCCGAACCCCTCAACTCCCAGTATCTGAAAAAATTCACTTCTTCCATATCCCCCCTCCCCAATTTTATACCAATTTTTCTTTATCTAAATCATTTTTTCACCCTCTTTACCTTTTCTCTTTTTTTATGTTCACTTTCAACTTTCTACCTTTAAAACCCAAATTCCCCAAATAAAAACCCCTAAATTTTCAATTTTTTCTTTAAATTCCCCCTAAGCAAGTTATCGCAAAAAGTAACTGTGCAATTCCCATTTTGGGAAAAAAAAAAGATTCCCCCTAAATTTTTAAACCCCCCTCTCCCCAAAAACCCGATTTTTCTTCCCCCTTTAAAAACCCTCTATAAATATATTAAAACCCAAACCCGGGGACATTAACATCCCCGTCTAAGACCTCTTTTTCGGGAAAATAGTCTCCCTCTCTTTTTCACACCCTAACCTGAGCCTACTATCCCCATAAAAAAATCTTTTAAAACATTTTAAAAACTTACCCCCCTATTCCATATCTTTTCAACAACTGGCCCCCATTGTCCTTTTATCCACTCCCATCATAAGCCCTTTTTTAAAAACCTTTAAAAGCAATAAAAACTCCCAAACTTTTTTTAAAAAACTGTTCAATATACTTTTAATGTAAAAACCTGATCTACACATCCCCTACCCCCTCTAAAACCCCCCCTTGCTCAACCCAAACCCCACTTCCCGTCTTACCTCTAAAATTTTTTCCAAATTTTTTTAACCCAAACCCAAAACTTTTTTCCCGGGAAACTCCCGTAAGCCCTTTTTCCTCTATAATTTTTTTCCGTCTCTTTTGTCCCCCTTTTCCCTTTTTTTAAAGGGGGGAAAAACATGCTCTTTGCCCAAACCCTAGGGGACCTTAAACCCCCTTTCATACAAAATTTAATTTTACAAAATACCAACCACTCCAACACTATATTCCCCCCCCGCTTTTAACATTTCTGTCCAAAATCCCTCGTTCCAGCTGGTTTAACCCCCCCTTTTATTTTTGTAATGCCTACGTACCCTTTCCCCCCCACTTTCATTTTTGCTCTTCTTTACTCTAAAAAAAAGGGAAACCCCCTGAACCCCGTGCATGAAAATTTTGCTTGTTTCTTCCTTAAAAATTTAAAAAATTTTTCCCCAAAAAATTTCGCCATTTTTCCCCAAAACCCCCATTCCCACAATAACTCCCCCACCTGTTTTTAACTTAAAAAACCATATTTTCCCCCAGGGTTTCTTAACTTGGGTTTTAAATCACTCCAAATTTTTTTTTTATTTTTTTTAAAATTTCTTTTACAGTGCCTTCCTTCCCCCTCTATCATCTGCTCTCCTTTTGCACCCTCCACCACTCTCTTTACCTTTCTTTTTCTCTCCTATACTTGCCATTCTTTAACACTTCTGCTTTTAAAAACCCCTCATAAGCTACCTTTTTCTTTTATACCCCCTTTTCTTCATCATTCCCCCCAATCACTCCTCTTTCCCCTGCCCCCCCCCCCTTTAACCCCAAACTTTGCCCACATTCTTAATACGGGAATTTTTTAAAAATTTCCAAAACCCCCTTCCCAACCCCCCAAAAAAATCATCTTTTTAATAGCCCCCCTTTTTGCCAATATTCCCCTTTTTTTCTCCCCCGAACTTCCCCCCTCCCCTTTGTAATTTAAACACTTTCACCTCCCTCTTACTTGTTGTTGCCCCCTTCCTCTTTTCCCTTTTTCCTTTTTACCCCTAAAGTGCTCCCAAATTAAAAAAATGGGTCCCATTATCAGGGCCCTCTTTTTAAACATGTAAACCTGGGGCCTACCCCCTCAACCTTTTTTCCACCAAAAACATAATTAATTTAAATACTTTTTTTTACGTGCTAAATCATAAACCCTTTTAATTTTTATCCTCTTTTTTATAAAAAATGTATTACTTTATTACCAAATTTCCCTTTTTACACATAGCTCAATTAAAGGCTCCCCATTTTTCATTTTCCCCCGGAAACCCCCAAAAATTTCCTACAAATCCCCCCATAACATTTTTTACCCACTTTAGCATTAAAATCCCCCCAAACCCCATTACTTCACACTTGATTCAAAATCCCCACGCATTACCCCAACATTTCCCAAAATTTTTTCTTCCTTTTCCTCCTTAACTTCTCCTTCCTTTAAAGGGGCATACACGCTTTTTATAACCCCCTTTTTACATCCCCTTTTTTATTTTTTCCACATAATCCTTGAATTAATACATTTATATCCCTCTTTTCCTGCCATTAAACTTTTCCTTTTAACATTATTTTCTACTCCCCTTTTTTTAGCTCAACTCTATTTTTAAACCCTGACCTTAAACCATTTATTCCTCTCCACTGAAATCTCCCACCCCCCCTTAAACTTTGTTTTAAATTAAATCCAGGACAACCAGCTTCCCTTTTTCTTTTAAAAACATCCACAATCATCTCTTTTTTATCATCCCGCACAAAATCCACGCACATTTTTTAAATTCCCCCCTTTGAAAAATTTTCTTCTTCTTTATTTTTTTTAGTTAAACTTTTTCAGGAAAAGGGGGTTTTTGCCCCTTTTTTCCCGGGGGATTTTAGTTGATTTTACAAAAACGCTTTGGGTTACGGAGGGGAAAAATTCTTATTCCCCTTCCCCATGGATATAAAAGGAAAATTAAAAAGACCAAGGGCTATTAAGATAAAATCAAAGAAAACTCAGATGAGTGTGTATAAATAAATGTGTACATGTATGTGTAGTGTGACCTAAGTGTAAGTAGAAGTAGCAAGACATGCCTGTAATCTTGCATATTTATGAGACAGACAAAAGACATCAGCAATCCTACCATCATGTAAAACAATCACAGGCTTCGTTTTACACTCACTTGGCAGGACGGTAGTACCTCCCTGGGTGGTTGCTGTCTACCAACCTACTAGTATAATACTAGTATAATACTAGTATAATATAATACAATAATAATAAATGTATAATAATAATACATATAAAACAATAATATACTACATATAATAATTATAATAACAGACGGCTTCAAAAGGCCATCACTAGATGGCAGTGTTTACCACAACAAAGAGGGAGCGGTTGTGGCCGCCTCCACCTGTTACATAATGACATATTTTATTCATTCTAGAGTATATATATCATGTTTCTATGTTATTTATATTTTTTGTTATGTCATATTAGATGAACTGTGATATATAAATAAACCGTATAGATGATATTAGCAAAATTATTCATGAAGTATTTTGCCCAGTCTCCAGACAAACTCTCGTCCACCGCCGACACCACCCATACCACTACATGAATGACATATTTTATTCATTTTAGAGTATATATCAGGTTTCTATGTTTTTATATTATTTATTATGTCATATTAGATGAAGTGAGATAGATAAATAAGCCGTAGAGTTGATATTAGCGAAATTATTGAAGTACAGAATTCCACTGGAACGGATTAATTGCATTTCAATTAATTTAAATGAGGAAAACTGACTCTGCAAACGAGCAAATCCAGTTGCAAGCAACGTCGTGGAATGGATTAAACTCGCAAGAGAGGTTCCACTGTATAATTTTTTAACCGGCTATCTCCCACCGAGGTAGGGTGACCCAAAAAAGACGAAACACTTTCACCAACATTTGCTATGTCTCTTGCCAGAGGTGTGCAAATACTACAGTTCAGATGCCCCTCCAAACTGCAAACATTCCCACCCCTCATTTAGAGTGAAGGCACTGTACTTCCCACATCCACGAGTCAAGTCCAGCATTGCAGTTTCCCCTCCTGTACAAAATACTGATGATACTGTGAGTGCGGGTATTGTGTTGCATACAACAGGTGGATGTATGTTCATTGATGTGTGCCTGATGGGCCTTGAGTTATTGGTAAATGTAAAATGTTAGAAAAACCCAAAAAAAGGTACAAAATAATACAGAAAATAGATGGAGTGTGCAGCAACCACCAATACTGCTATCAGCAGCTCACTGCCCTTAAACTTTATGCTTCTATATCTCAGTAAGTACTGATCAGTTGTTTTAATTTTGAGGGCTCTAGACATTGAAAGTTAAACATAAGAGGAGATGCAGATGTTCAATCCTCCATCAGCTAAACTCAAAACATGTATAGTAGTATAGCTGATAATTTTGTAATGGACATCAAATGGTTGTAAGATTTAATTGGATCCATTATTATTTTTTTATTACATTACCACCATTTTATGATCACTATTATGTTCAATAACTACAGAAAATTTTGAAAGCAACATAGTGAACATGTGGCTAAATATATACAATAACATAGAAAATTCCTCATTCAAATACTGGATAGCTGCATTACGAACTTACTACACAGCATAGTAGACATTCATAGCTGTAGTGTGGATAATCAAGGTTAAGTAGCTATATATGCAAACAAATAATGCAGGTGCAGCTAGACACACGCTGGATAAAATCATAACATGTGAGAATTTTGAAATAAACTACAACATAAACACAACATCAAGCCATACCAATAACCCAATGGAACAGAAAAATTCTTACCTGTATCTCCATCTCCATATTCTGCCATTGAGTCTGTATCAGATTCTATTGGGTTTTTCACATCACTACCCAGACTGTCCCTCTTCGGTCCATCCAATCTGCAAAATGATTAATGAGATTAAAATTTCTTGTGATGTATATGAAAAAGCATATTTATAATGCAAAATGTAACTTGCCTAAGAAAAGTTAAAATAATCAACATCTATGAAGACAACTAAAGAAAAAAAAACATGAAAAAAGAACTGTGATTTAAGTAAAAGGTATGTGGAAAGACTATACAAATGGAATGTGAAGAGCCAAGAAGAGAAATTATGTATAAAAATACAAGTACAGTGGTACCTTGACTTACAAGTGCCCCAACTTATGAGTTTTCCAAGTTATGAGACTTCACTTGGTTATTTTTTGCTTTGAGTTGCGAGCCAAAATCCGAGTTACAAGCGAGCTTCAGATATGCCGTCACTCACAGGAGATACCGAGGAAATATCAAAAACCTCAATAATAACCAATGTGTAACATCCTTTAAATTTTGATACCACTGGTAATGTCATCCTGTCACAATATTCTATAACGAATGCCTTTAGTAAAGAGAAACAATTCTGGAACATGTGTAATACATGTTCGACAGGCCGGCTGGTTGTGCGGCCAGCTGGCTGGCTGATTTGCTTTGGCTGTCTCTATCTCCTTCTGTCTATCTGTAACTATTTGTCTGTCTGTCTCTCTCTATCTCACAGGTATACATAAATACAGTTATACAGGTCTGCCATCACAAATCCGGCAATCAGTTATTCGGTTCCTTCAGTTATTCGGCACTAATTTTGGCTAGCATAATTTCAAATTTTCAGGGTCGCCACACCAACCTGCTGGCACTGTTTGGTGGCGCTACTTGCTGCATAAGTCATTCCAATTTCTTTTTCTCCATTTATTGTTATAACCTGCTTGCTTTTAGCCCTAGCCATGGTTCCAATGAATAAAAGAAATGCTTCTCATTATGTAAAGCACCTACGCAATACATTATCTATTAAAGATAAGGTGGCTTTGAAGCCACTGTCGGTTGCCATGAGCTCAGTCTCATGAAGCAGAATATGCTTAATTATTACACTAATATCAACACTACAGTTTATTTGCCTATCACAATTGATCTAATATGACATAAAAAACAATATAAATAACATAAAACATGTTAAATACTCCAGAATGAATAATATTTGGCATAATACCGAGCAGTTCGACAGAGTTGTGAAGAGCATATGGTATACAAATACCATTCTCCTATCCCTGTCTTGGGGCTTATATTAGAGAAAACGGAGTATAGCACAGGGCTAACTGTGATATACACCCGCACTCCACCATAAACCTGAAACAAAAAAGTTATTTTCTCTCTCTAGATTATCACACATAGCATATATGTAGAGAACCTAGGATAACCCAAAAAAAGTCAACGTGGCTTATTTTTAGCACCTGGCTTGGGTTAGCCATATATGATTTTTGGTAAATATTCGATTTCCAGCCAGGGTAGAAACATTAGGCGTGTTTCTTTACAGCTGTTGTCTATGTTTACCCATCAATAAATGGGTACCTGGGTGTTAGCAGACTAGTGTGGGTGTTATCCTGGGACACTGACCTAATTTTCTTGAAATACTCAGCATAACAAGTGGCTTTCTATATAGTAGTATGTTACTGATGTCAGCTAGGCCTGTATACCTTGTACATGTATGTGTAGTAAATAAAGATATTATTATTATTATTTATTATTATTATTATTATTATTATATTATTTTTTCAGTTGTTTGTTGGGTTATCTTATTCAAACTTGGGTAATGTATGATGGAAAGATACTTCTTCACGTACACCAAAAATGAAAGTAATCGGACCATAAATAGCCGAGTTCACTTCTCAGCCATTAGCGGCCGCTTAGCGGTATATTTTTGTATGGTTGTCATGGTTATATTCTCATTTTTTCGGTCTCATTTGACAGAATGAAAGATATATTACAGAAATAGATATGATTTTGATTGCTTTCATGACGAAAAGTACCTTGAAATTGTGCTCACAGTAGCGAAAATGTTCTATTCTTTAGCGAAGCTCAAGAGTAAACAAATGACGTCACCGTCCAATACCTGTCCGCCTGCCAGTCCAATACGGAGTCAAGAATGCCTTGACATTATTTATACAATTATTACAATAATGCAGTAGTCTGCATAACAGTAAATCTTCTATTTTTTTGTGAATAAAAATTCCAAAAGCAAGAGTAATATAAGAGGGGCCTGTAGCCATGACTAATGAACAGAGAAAATGTTATTTTAGTGCCAGGTATGTCTGCATTGTTTATTCTGGACCCTATTTTGAAATTGGCATCTGTTGAAATTTGTGTGAAATCAGCCAAATTGCCAATTTCTGACCACTTCATTGGGTAGTTGAAATAAGTGAATGGGCGGTTTTTTGTACTCAGTTGACAGACTAGAAGTAAATAAGTTTATTCAGGTATACACAAATACAGTTACATAGATTATCATACATAGCAGCGTATGTAAAGGGAACCTAGGATAACCCAGAAAAGTCGAAGTGACTTATTTCCAGTATGTACCTGGCTTGGGCTTGCCATATATGATTTTTGGTACATATTTTTTTTCTCGGTTGTTTGTTGGGCTATCTCATTGAAACTTGGGTAATGTATGATGGAAAGATGCTTCTTAACGTACACCAAAAATAAAAAAAGACTGACGATAAACAAGGGAGTTCACTTCTCAGACATTAGCCGCCTCTTTGCAGTCTATTTTCGTATGATTTTTATGGTTGTATTCTCATTTTTTTGGACTCATTTGATAGAATGGAAGATATATTACAGAAATAGGCATGATTTTGATTGCTTTCATGACGAAAAGTACCTTGAAATTGAGCTCAAAGTAGCGGAAATGTTCGATTTTTGCCGATGTTCAATGAACTGTGTAAGTCAAGTTGGTTAATTTTATTAAGTGTATTCTAACCTAACCACTCTGTAATCCGGCAAACTCAGTAATCCGGAACACTACAGGTCCCAGTGATGCCGGATTTGTGATGGAGGACCTGTACATAGTGTAAATCACCTAGGATAACCCAAAAAATCCAGACAAAGTGCTATACTATGCTTGTAGATACAAGGCATAATAAGCATGACTGGCAAGTAATACACAACTTACACCGTGCTTCAAGGAGATTCACATATACTCCAGCATTTCTAAAACATTGCTGGGACCTGGCAAAACAGGCAAAAATAATTTCTTATTTATAAATACATTTTTCTTATTTAAAAACCCCTAACAAAAAAATTGGGGTGGTATTTTGGGGGCTGGAACGGATTAATGGCATTTCAATTAATTTCAATGAGTAAAATTGATTTGATATACCACGAGCAAATTGAGTTATGAGCTCGGTACCACTGTATCTTTAAAATTAGTATTTTAAGTTTAATAAGGATGCAGGTAACGAGTGAATGGAAATGTAGGTCTCCCTTGCTTTATGGGAAAAAAAAAAAAACATTCCTGGCCCTTGGGGTATAAAGCAAACCCAATATAAAGTGTAAAACACAGCAATTCATTTTGATATATACAAATTCCACATTTCTTGACTAAAATTTACCCCAAAAAAATATGACCTTACTACACATGTAACAAGTGTTCCATATAAAAAAAAAAATATGAATTTGGTTTAAAAATTACCAGGAAAAGTGTGAAATTAAAAAAATAATGAATTTGCTAGAAAGTGGGAATCATCACAGATGCCAATGACAGGTTTCTTTAGGGAGATTATGAAGAGAAGTTGGAAAGGTTGGTAGAGAAATTTGGGAGGAAAGAGCTAGTAACTCCTTCTCCTGTATAAATAACTAAATTTAAAATGAAAAACTTTTGTTTTTCTTTTTGGGTCACCCTTCCTCAGTGGGATAGGGGCAGTATTTTAAAAAATATAATGTATAAGAAGGAAACAGAAAGCATAGGAAAGAGCAAGATGATGAGGGTGACAAAAAATTTAGACAATAAAGATTGGATATGAAATTGGAGGAAGTACTGTGTTCAGATACAGCGGAATGTCGGTTTCCATCTTCAATTCGTTCCAGAAAGTCTGACGAAAACTGAATTCAATGAAGACTGAAGCAATATTTCCCCTAGGAAATTATGTAAATCCAATTAATCAGTTCCAGACACCCAAAAGTAATAACAAAAAATACATTTTATAGAGAATAACTATAGTTTTACATTGCCTGGATAGAACTGATCGTTGATGAGGACTTCCTGTACATCTTGACAAGATCGACCACACGTACACCACTTTCATACTTGGCTACCACTTTTTTTTTTTTAATTCTATTGTGTTTCTCACCTTCTTTATCAAAGGGCTGGCACTAAGAACTTTCTTTACACCATGGATTATTACGAAATGTTTCATATGAACGTGCAGGGTAATGTTCACTCGACAAGAAACAAAGCCAGATTGGCTCAGAACGTGTGCATGGGATGCTTTGTGTGGGCGCAGGCAGGTGTACACATTCAGTACAGCGGACGAAACCTGGGACAAAATTTTGACGAAAAAAGTCGTCGAAAATGAAATTCAACAAAAACCAGGGCAAACGAAAACTGATGCTCCACTGTACTGTATTTGGGAGTGGACTTATCAGCAGATGGGTTATGAGAGATTAGGTGAGAGAAAAAAGGTATGGTGCACTGAAGAATCTGTGGAGAAGAACTTTATCCATGGAAGCAATAAAATGAATGTATCAAGAGTATATGGATGTAAAGCAATGGGTTTTAAATGTTGCAGAGGCAGATGTGTGGTGGGAATATTATATAAATCCAGAGTGTGGAGATTAAGTGATGGGTTGAGATGGCTTCAGTATGTAGAGAGGATGGAACAAATGAAGATGACTAGAGGGTATATAAATCTGGGGAAGAGAGAGAAGGGGAAGGGGCTATCCAAGGGCTGGAGAGAAAGGTTAAAGATTTTGAATGCTAGGGGATTGAGAATTCAACAGGCACGTGTGAGTGCGTTAGATCAGAGTGGAAGTAAGTGATTTTTGTGACGATATGCTTTGGGAGTGTGACCAGGGTAACATTTATAAAGATATTTGGGAAAATCAGCTACCCAGACTTGAGGTGGGAAGAGCAATGCTTGCACTCTAATGGAGAGGAAATGGGGATGTTGCAATTCGGAAGGCCATCTAAGCTGTGATGGTAGCATGCTTCTAGCAAGACAGTAATTGAATCAATGATAATGAACATTTTTTTCCTTTTTTTGGCCAAATTACTGACTTTTGCTCAGTTTATATAGTTCTAATAGTTGAATGGGGGTTCCATGTGCTTAAACAATAGATTGAATGGTGCACTAATGAAACAGTTAGAAATTTGATTAAATGAAGTGGACAAAATCACCTAGGAGTAAATTGCAGAGTTTTCAATCAAATTTTGCACTTTTGGTATCATTACCTTCAAAAATAGATTCTGTTATTTCATTTATGTTTTAAATGGGACATGGCAGCAATATTAATTTTTGGAGTTTGGAAAGTAAATTGGTTAAGTTATTCTTGAAAATTTGTTTTGTCAAGTATTTAGCATGTTTGACAAATGAAATAGCACCATAAATCTTTCCTGGATTTTTTCAAGAAGATGTATTGAACATTCCCTAATGAAAGCAATGTAACAAAGAACATTTGCATTACTAGATTTTTACATAACAAAACAGAATAAATTCAAATGTCTCTGATACTTTTCTACAAAAAAAAAAAAAAGGGGGTTAAAATGTTAAATATAAAAAATTTAATTTAAATTTACATGAATCAGGTTATTTTAATGATACAATATTTGAAAACATACGGCTGGGCAAATTCAGGGAACCCTTGTTCTTCATTGAAGTCTGTACGCCCATGAGCAGCCTCACGTTCCTGGACGGCATATTTTCCTCCACGATTACGCTTGACAACGCATACGATAATAAGGATCACGAGGAGGAAGACAATGGCAAGCATCATGCCAATAAACCAACCATGAGTTGCAATATTCTCAGATGGGACACGAATCACTCCCGAGGTCTGAAAGTATTAATAGAGGATATGAGATGTTAATCTGCTGACATAAAAAAAAGTATATATTTTCACTTACACTCCAAGCTTAAAAAAAAAAAAAAATCCAATGCCAAGGATAACTGTTTTAAAGTTACAGTTAACTATTAGCAAAAACCTTTTTCCAAGACAAATGAAGTTTTATAGCTATCAAAATAAGAAAAAATACTTGTGTCTTGTCTCACTCCCCAGTAATTTTACGGTTAAAAAAAAGTGGTATTGTAGATTGCTAGCCACAAGAGCTTGGGCCTACAGCCAAAGCTTAGTTGCAGCACCCTCAAGATATGACAGCACCTGTACAGGGCTCTGGAGAAAGCCAGCACTTTGTCCAAGGTTTCAGGAGCAGCAACACCAAGGATACTGACACAACTAAAGCCATTTCATAAGCACATCAGAAGAAAAATGACAACAGATGATCAAGTAAAAATACTAAGAAAAGACAGGAAAACACTAGCACAAAATTACATGGGTATGCCTCAAGCTTGCCAGAAGATTCCAGGGTACAGTAGAACCTCCATATCTATGGTTAGTCCAATTTCAATGATTTTATTATTGTAAGTTAAGAGGATGGTCCAAAGTGTATACTAGAAGTATCATGAAGTTTTCCATAAAATAATGATTTTCGATATGGAAATACCTTGTTAATGTTTAGGATGTTGTGGTTAACTTTACATGAACAAGTAAAGATAAAGATGAATTGTATAGAAGAAATTAAATGACATATTATATTGTACCCCCAAAATTCATTCTTTTTTTTTTCTTTTTGGTATTTTAAAATAAATAAAACAAATGGTAAAGGCTATTACAAATTCCCTTCACAAGACTGTAAAACCGTAACTCCTGAATAATCATAACAATGTACTACTGTATTCATAAGCAATGAAAATTTTACTAACGGGAGAATAACTTACTTTTGAGAAAAATAATAAAATGTTATTAGTGGATATGAAATGTTATGAGACAACGATTCTTCTTCAATCTCTCCCCAGTATAAAACACCAATTCTGCTCCACTTAAGCTTATGATTAAAATTATCATAATAAGTAATACATAATATAGTAGGGCCCCACTTATACGGCAGGTTAGGTTCCAGGCTACCGCCATAAAGTGGAACACCGTTTTTTTTTTCACTTATAAATGCATATAAATACATACTAGATAACAAATTTACACTAACATATATTAAGTTAGCAACAGAACTAGGCATTAAAAAACGATAAGTAAAATACACGTATAGTACACTCATTACTTACCTTAAGATATTTGTAGTCTTAATCTAGGGTGAGATGAGTAGTATTTATTGTAAGAAATCAAGTGTGGTATATATGGTAGCCAGCCAGGCTACCATACCAGGCCACCCCACCCACACATAATATTCTATCACATTTAACCATCCCAGAGTGATAAAATGCATATACAGTGGACCCCCGGTTAACGATTTTTTTTCATTCCAGAAGTATGTTCAGGTGCCAGTACTGACTGAATTTGTTCCCATAAGGAATATTGTGAAGTAGATTAGTCCATTTCAGACCCCCAAACATACACGTACAAACGCACTTACATAAATACACTTACATAATTGGTCGCATTGGGAGGTGATCGTTATGCGGGGGTCCACTGTACAGTTCACTCATTACTTACCTTAAAATAGCTGTAGTCTTAATGTAGGGTCGGAGGTGAGCAAACGAGATAAAACTAATAAATGAGAGAGGACAGGCATGGAGTTATGTAAACAAACCAGGCGAATGCATCTGGTTTGTGTACACGTTACGTTGTGTACAACTTGTCTCTGTTGATACGGTAGAATAAAGAGGAACACTCCCATTCTCATGTAACACCATTTTTAGAAGAAATGACGCTCTGAGTGAAGGCATACGAAAGGAATAATTTTTCTACAGTTACCCCAGTAACACATTTTCTCTGATGTTGGACTAGAGAAAATGTTATTCTTGCTGTCACTTGTACAAGTCGTCTGGCTACCACATCCCATATTTATGTCAATTTATTCTACTGTGGGGTGTATTTATCATCTTTATATGTTATGTATGGCATTTATTACAATAGACTGTCATTTACCACAGTAGTTACGTTCCTGAAAACACTGTTTTAGTTAAAATCGTGTTAGACAAACTGAAGAACTTATGGGAAAAATAGAGCTACGTTCCTGGGAGCCCCAAAAAAGCCAAAGAACTTTTTTTTTGACCTCCAGATCTTACAAAAGTAAAAGTGAATACAGTATGTAACTGTAGTTCACTGTCGTGATGTATTATGTTGTTCTTAATGATTAAGATTACAAATGCAACAGAAATAATAGTTTTTTTTTTTTTTTTTTTTAACAAGTCGGCCGTCTCCCACCGAGGCAGGGTGACCCAAAAAAGAAAGAAAATCCCCAAAAAGAAAATACTTTCATCATCATTCAACACTTTCACCACACTCGCACATTATCACTGTTTTTGCAGAGGTGCTCAGAATACAACAGTCTAGAAGCATACACATATAAAGATACACAACATATCCCCCCAAAAACTGCCAATATCCCAAACCCTCCTTTAAAGTGCAGGCATTGTACTTCCCATTTCCAGACTCAAGTCCGACTATATGAAAAATACCGGTTTCCCCGAATCCCTTCACTAAATATTACCCTGCTCACACTCCAACAGATCGTCGGTCCAAGTACCATTTCTCCATTCACTCTATCTAACACGCTCACGCACGCTTGCTGGAAGTCCAGCCCTTACCCACAAAACCTCCTTTAACCCCTCTCTCCAACCCTTTTGAGGACAACCCCTACCCCGCCTTCCTTCCCTATAGATTATATGCTTTCCATGTCATTCTACTTTGATCCATTCTCTCTAAATGACCAAACCACCTCAACAACCCCTCCTCTGCCCTCTGACTAATACTTTTATTAACTCCACACCTTCTCCTAATTTCCACACTCCGAATTTTCTGCATAATATTTACACCACACATTGCCCTTAAACAGGACATCTCCACTGCCTCCAACCGTCTCCTCGCTGCTGCGAGTTTGTGGATGATTGTGGAGAGTGGAGAGTTATACTGTGGCCCTACGGGCTGAGGTGGATAGTAGAGGTTCTGGTACTGAAGTCGATGGTTGTACTGGAGTGTGCATAAATTCTCTAATGGATTTCTGCTCTATTTTACCCCGCAGTACAAACGGGACAGTAAGGCATAGCGGGGCCTTAGCCCCTTTTTCAGGGCCCTCAGTGAAAAAGTTCTAACTTTAAAAGTCGTCAGTAAATCGGTCAGTAATACAGTCAGTCAGAAAAAATCAATCACCACGAAAATAAATATTTCCCTTTATTCTTTTTATTGTGCACAAAGAAAATGTTCTTTTTGGGCCACTGGCAAATCTTTTTGTCTAATATTTTTCTATTTTTTTGTTAATTAAAAAGGGGACAAAAAAGGTTTAAAACCTTTTTTGCCACTTTCAGTAACTTTGGGTATCCCAACTGGGTCCCCTGATTGCTTGGCGATTTAAGATTGGCAAGAAAAAAGATATAAACCCTAGCAGGGATGGTACTTTACCCTGCGGGCGTTGCCCCTCAAAATTTTTTCACCCCCTGTGAATGTGTTAAGTTAATTTCAAAAGTTTTTTATACAAAAATAGGCCCCCAATTTTTAAAAATCGTGCTATAACCAAAACATGCCAGAAAAAAACCTTTTTTAAACGACAGTTTTGAAATATTAATTTTAAAAAAAAAATATCTAGAAGATTAATAAAAAAGGTATATTAACGTAATATAGGGACATTTAAGGGAAACTGGGGAACTATTTTTGGGTGTTATCATCACCCTTACCATAGGGGCATCTTGAAAACATGAAACACCTTACTGATTTTAAGGGGTCCCTGCCCCCCAGCCCCAGTTTTTTAAATTTTTTTTTAGGTAATACGGGTTTAAAAATAAATAATTTATAATTATAGAGTTTATACACCTACCATCCGATTTTAAAATAGTTGGGTTCCGAAAAAACCGGTCGAAAGTAAAAATGGTGGGAAAGTCGAACTTTATATAAATTTCAGCAAAAAAAAAAAAATTTTTTGAAATTGACTTTTTTTTATTGTTTTTTTTTGGAAATTTCATGTTTTATTTTTCTTTTTATGTTGTTAGAAATGTATTTTATACTGTAAGGTGTAGGAAAAAACACTGTGTACAAACCAAAAATTTTTGTTTATTTCCCAGAAATTTGGCATAAAAAAAAAACGGTCGTAAGTCGGGGTTTTAAGTTGGGCAGGTGTACAAAAAAATTTGAAAACTATTAAAAATACTTGTTTTTTGGGAAAGTTTCCAGAATAATGGGACATGGTGCTTACGGAGCTCAGGGGAAAATGTAAAACAAACAAGGGGGGGGGTGTGGTGCCCGTTTTTAAAAAAGTCGGGTTTGGGGGGAAAGCCTTTTAAAGCAATTTTTGGGTTTTTTTCAAAAATTTGAAAGTCTTATTAGCGGAAAGCCATAAAGCAAGGGCCTTTACTTTTCTTATAATTTAAAAAACCCCTTGTGTGTGTATGAGGCAAACTACTTTTGCGGGGGAGTGAGGGGTAGAAACCCCTTCTCCTGTTATCCCAATTATTACAAATTTAAAAAAGGAGACTTTCGTTTTTTTTTTTGGGGCCACCCGCCTTAGGGGGTTTTCACCCAGGGGTTTGAAAAAAAAAGTAAAAAAATTTTTATGTTTTAATTATTATTATTAATTTTTTAAAATTTAATTTGTACTTGTAAACGTTCCAAAAACGTGGGTTCTACGTTTTAGCCCAGGGGCCCAAAATTTATTTTGGAAAAAAAAAAAAAAAAAAATTTTTTGTTTTTTTTTTTAAAAAAAAATAAAAAAAAAGCACATTTTTCTGCATGCTTTTGGAAAAAAAAAATTTTAGGGTCAGTATTTTCCGAGAATTTTAAACCCAGTGAAGTTGGCACTTGTTACCTGACGGCCCAACATGGGGGCTGCCACTTCCCAAAAAATTTACTTT